AAAAAAAAAAAAAAAAAATTCCCTAATTATAATTTATGAGTGGTACCAGTTTTAAATTCTCCTAGGGTTTTTCTCTTTTTACATATATACGTGCACAAAAAAAAACACTCGCAGCCGCGTATGCGAAATTTGCACGCACTTTCCCCTCGCACATTTATCCGCCAGTGCCTTTAAAAAGATTATACCCACACCAAATTCAAATTTCATATCTCCACCCCCTTCCCATAATGAAAGTATCCAACGCTTTTTTTATCTTCCAATCGCTTGTCGTATTGTACTATTTCACACCATGTCTGGCGCAAAGGAGGTACGTCAATGCGGCTTCAGTGGATTCATTAAAGTCGATTGACCAGGAACTGCAGAAGAAGAAAAACAAGAAGAAGAAAATGGCCTTGTATTCCATAGGCTCCATTGTGGCACTAGCAACAGCCATAGCAGGTGGAGTAGGCCTAGGAATGTACATTAATGAGAAAAAAAAAAAATCAGAAAACGTACAGGAAATTGAAAAGTCAGAAAACAAGACAACAGAAGAACAGGATACACTGTTGAATAAATCTGAGGATGCCAATATTGAGATTAAAGGGGATAGCGAAGAGATTATAACCAAGGTGAGCGTCCAACCCAGCTATGCAGGATTAGGCACACAGAACTTTAGTAATAGGGATCTTTCAAGTATTGGCAACGTATCCGATAATACCAATAATGGACCAGGTTTAAAATCAGGTGACTTCCCTGATTCTATATTTAGACAAAATTTGGATGATAATGAGTACCGACCTCTGATGTTGGAAGATGCCTTGGATGACTCCCCACTTAGTGACCCAGTTCAAAGTGGACCTTCTAATTCCATGAACAGCGGAAGTGGTGACTCCAGTTTAAATTTGTTTTATGACAGCAGAAGAGATATAGGTATATATGGACAGGACAGATTGTTCAAAACTTTAGATTCAGATATAGAACCTCTAATTATCCCTACAAAATACCCAACAGTTGGAAATAAAGATGCCTCCCCAAGTGGTGTTGGTTCGTCTTCGAATTTTTCAGATGGACCAAGTACATCTAGTTACTCTAGGTATAACGATTATTCGCAAGGCATTGGCAGCTCTACTCGACATTATAGCTCTTCTTCTAGCGGGAGCCGAGGATATGGCTTAGGTTCGCATAGTGATATGGGATATGCAGGTGGTGTCCCCATCTCTGGGCTTAGAGCACTAAATAGATGATGTAACAATTTTTGTAAATAAATATATATATACACATATATATATATATATATAATGGGGCAGTGGGGGTGCAAGGATGTTTACCTTATGTTGAACTTGTGCACATATATATATACACGTTTTTGTGCAGGTCCACGGATCTAGATTCGCAGGATGTATAACATAAGAAAACGATTCTCATATTGTTATTTGGAAGAGGAAAAAGGCGGACTTTAAATAAAGCGCCTTGTGTAGTATTTTATGGAGACATGGAATGTGTTAAGAAGCCGAAACGATGACTTACCTTTTCACGCATTGCGGACTGGGGGACGCTTCGCCTGGCTTCCCCCCCCCCCCAAGCACAATTACCGAGGATCATCCGATGAGTTCATCCGTTCATCAGTTCACCATCCGATGAGTCGTTGGCCAATTTTGTTATGCACCACACCACTAGCAGTGGCACCCCGTCAAGTGACGTACGAATTGTTTAAAAAAAACACACCAGGGAGTAATATGGCCCCTCCGACCTTGGTCACATATAGTATATTCTCATTTCGAAGGAGGGATTAATTTTTGAAGTTCAGAATTAATTTTTTGTTTCTACCACATATGTTTGTCCGATTTATTAGCACTGTATCGTGCTAGCAATACGCGCCATGGGAAATAGAATTATGTCCGTTGTATTCCGTCGTACCTTTGTGCATTAACATGTCCGCATTTTTTAATCGTTTCTTGTTTTTTTTTTTTTTTTTTTTCTTCATTTCTCTTTAATGTTTTATGCGTAATGTAATGTAAAACAAAAAAAGGAAACCTGTCCAGTAAGTTCGAAAATTTATTTTCCTGCACTAACAAGTTTTTTGCACCCTTTGAAAACGGTGTCCTGTCTTTTTGTGAAATTCCGTTGTGGAAAAAATCTGTACGCCACGAATTCAATTTTGGAAGAGGAATATTTTTTTTTTTTTCCCCCTTGTACATATTCGCTCGTGCGTTCAAACAGCGCAACGTTAGTCGAGTAACAACAGTTGGTAGGAGCTTTACACACATGGTGGAGCATTAGTAGTAGGGAAATTTCCCCATTTGGGATTAAATAAAAATACTTGGAGGAACAAAATTGATGTAGGCTTATTTATATTGCTGAGTTTACCAAAAAAAAAAAAAAAAAAAAAAAAAAAAAAAAAAAGAAAGAAAAGAGACGAATGGAAACAAACACAAATGCTCAAAAGGACGCCAAAAAAAATGAAAAAAAAAGATTATTCTTCGTACATATTTAACACCATGCAGTGTACAATTATCTTTCCTCTATTTATATATATATTTTTTTTTTTACCATAATGCAAATTTCCTAGCAGCGCTATTTACTTTCTTACATGAATTGAAGATGAATGGCCATGTGACAGACATAACACAAAGGTGGATGGACTGGATTGTCTACGGCGAGCAGTCCCCAATGTTTGTTACACACAGAGTCAGCTGCTGCCTCCTACATATTGCTCAAATTTTTTACAATTTCCTTGTTTGTATTATTTTCTTTTCTGACTTTCTCCACCTCTTTCATTGCGAGGAGGTTTCCATGGCACGAGATGCATATGACCTTGAGTCCTGCGAGGTTGGTTGGTGAGTGTAAGGTAACGGTGTACGGTTTCTAATGAGGGGTGGACACACATGCCTCTCCATCTTTGCGTCACTATGTGTAGCAATTCTATGTATCGCTCCTAATTCTTACCTTCTGAGGTGTCCCAGTGAACCTTCACATTGGTCTGCTTCACTTTGTCACACCTCCAGCACCTGTAGGGGTAGGAGAACAGCCAGGAAAAGAGCCATGTGGTGTGGGGCTTTAAGAAGATTATACACCATGGATGTTGAGTACAAGGAGGACCAAATGTGCTCTCTAGCATCATCCTTCGTCTTACATGAAGGCCTTCAAAGAACTGTATTTGTGCACAACTGCACTTTTGGGGTCGAATTTGCTATCCAGGTGTTTCCTCGGGAGGGGCTCAAATTTCTTCAGGAGCTTCACCGCTCTGTTCCTCTCCTTGCTAACGTTGGACGACAGGATGCTCACTAAGTCGCTCTTCTTGTAGTCCTTGTGCTTGACCATGTTGAAAGAGGGCACACTTGGCCAGTGAGGAGGGGAAAAAAAAAAAAAAAAAAAAAACGAAGCGCAAAAAAGTGTGATGCACAAAATGACACTCCAAATGAAGTACACAAATGTGGAGTGCAATTCCTCCGCGCACAGGTTACGCGCGCCACAAGTTACATGCGCGAGAAAGCGAAGGCCCAAAGGCGAAGTGGAGAAAAATTCCCCAAGAGGTCAATAAAACTGGCTTGGGCACTTGTAAAGATGGTCTCCCTTTTAAATTAGTAAAGCGCCACAAATAAATTAAGTGTTCGATTTGAGAGGCGCCCTATGGAGTGGCCACTTCGCGCAGGGACAAAAAAAAGCGGGGCACTTTAAAATGGTCGCACATGTGTTATGTACCCAGGTGTGGATGCTCACCCGCGGTCGCGTTCATGCGTGAGTATGATATCGTGTGCCCTTAATTGCAAACGGACATGCGTCGACAATAGGCGCCAATAACAGCCGCGCGTAAAAACGCTCCCCACAATCGTTTCTCCTCTGAATGGTCCACAAGGAAAAAAAAAAAAAAAAAAAAAAAAAAAAAAAAAAAAAATACTCTCCGTTCGCCTTTGCGTTCAAAAAATCGCCTGTTATTTTAAGAGGCATAAAAACAAAAAAAAAAATTAAAATTAGCTAACTCAGCGGAAGGAAGCGGTATGAGGAAATAGCTTGACGAATTAACCCGAGAAAACTGCTCCCTTAGTGAAAATAATGAACCACTTGGTGAAAAGGCCACAGGGCGAAGATGTGCATACGTATGCATAATTGAAGTGTGTGATAGGCGGTTGTCTACATACGTTCTCATTGTCACTTCTCACGCAGGGCAGCGTTTTTTCCCCCACTTTCCATTTTTGGCGGTAAAAATATAGCTCGAAGTTTTTTTTTTTTTTTTTTTTTTTTTTTGGCAGCGCTGTGGGTGTGTTACTGTTCACGTCATTTTTATACATTACATGCTAGTTCTTCTGTATAGACGAGTTGTCCCGCACGCAGCGTCGCTACCCCGCGCGTCCTTTACAACTCTGTTGAATCGAAAGTATTGCACCACGAAGAAGAGTAAATTAGCAGTATCACAAAAAATGACAGCGAAAATGTTGGACATAGTAGACCAAGCGGGAAAAAGTGTAAGTGGTGAAAACTTAAAGAATGACATAAAAATCCTCTTCACAGACATAGATGGGACTTTGCTTAACAGTGACAATACATTATCCCCACTAAATATGCAAACGTTAATAAAGGCAAAGGAAAAAGGAATTAAAATTGTGCTTGCTACAGGGAGACCCGTATTCTCTGTACAAGGAGTCATAGGGGAACAATTAAAAAAAAACGATTTAAAATTATTTCCAGGAATATATTTAAATGGATGTATAACGTATGATGAAAATGGAAAAAAAATAATTGACCATGTTATTAGTGATGAGCTAAAAATGGACATTCATAATTTTACAAAAAAAAAAAATTTTGATCAGTACTGTATTTGGTATACTGCGGACCAAACATTCTGCTTCAGTATAAATGAAGAAATTAAAAATTACATGAATGTTGAAAGTGTCTCTCCTAAAATTATTAATGAAGAAACTTTTAAAACGTTGAAGGTGTATAAAGTGCTCATGTGTTTAAATGAGCAAAACATGTCCTCCATTTTTCAATCCTGCAAAGATTTATTTGCTCACAAAATTAACGTAGCAAATACTTTTATGTATTATATTGAATTATTTCACCAGAAGACCAACAAGTTTGAAGGGGTGAAGAAGATTTGCGACAATTATAACATCAGTTTGAATAATGCCCTTGTCATTGGGGATGGCGAGAACGACATTGAAATGCTGCAAGGAGTGCCCACTTCTGTTGCCCCCAGTAATGCCTCTGATAAGGTCAAGAGCTGTGCTAAGTATATTGGCCCCTCCAACAATGACGCCGTGGTTAGCCAAGCGCTCCAGAGGTTCTGCGGGGTCCACCCTTGAGGAAGCGCCATGTGCAGTGCTGCGAATGGAAGCCGTTGATCGAAGAAGTTTACCAAACAGTAAAACGACGCATTAAGCTCAAGAAGGAGTCCTAGACGTGCGTCTTCGAGCGAGTTGTAGCGAGTTGGTGCAGCCCGACCAGACCTTGCTCCACGTACAAGCACACACACCCACGGAATGAATTCACGTGCACCACCCACATATACGTTTTCATTTTTTAAAGGTCCTCCCGACCCACTGTCAAATTGTTTTAAATGTGTTTAATTAAATGTTAGCGCTCATTTTTTTAAGAACATTTTTTTTTCTGCGCGTGGGCACTGTATGGGTGCACGGCGCCGATCAGTTTATTGCGGCTTAATTAACTGATCCCTAATTAACTCGCCTGAGCCTACATACTCCCTAATTAATTGCCATTCATTTTTGCCCTTGCTGGGCCGTTATGTCGTTTGGGATTAGTACACGCATCGCGTGACGCAGCTGTTGATCTGTATAACGGCGCCTCCCTTTGGTTGGTTTTCCAACCGAGCAATTAAACATTCCATTTGGATGATCCAGCAAAATGGACTTTCCTGTCCACTCAGGAAAAGAATCAAATTGTTTCCTATGATGATTTGTGTATGTCTCGTAAGAGAGACCCCTTTTTTTATATAAATTTTAAATTATACACTTGGACAATGGTTTTCCTGTTGCAGGGGTCACTTCCTCGGGTTACTATATTAGACTATGTCTCCCCAAAGGGGAGGTGGTGGCAGCCCGATCCATTCTTCGTCTTAAAAAAAAAAAAAAAAAAAAAAAGAACACAAATCAGCTTTACAGAACATTGTTGCTTAATGAAACGGGGGGCCACAAATGGCATATAAAAAAGTGAAGGATGGAAGAATGAGAGAACCAAAATGAGCAGTGCTACGTGCAGGTTATTTTCCATCCGCCATTGGGGGATTCCGGTTGACAATACCTTCCTGTTCAAATTATGCAGTGGGAGCGTTCTCCCACAACAATGAAAATAAAAAATGGAATTTTACAAAAGGGGGGACAAATTGAAAGCGCAAGATGCAAATTTTAAAAAAAGGGACGCGAGTTAACTTCCGGCGAGTGCGCAAGCAGCAGCTGCGCTTAAAAAAAAAATAATAAAATGGTATAGCAAAACAGGGTGCGAAAACCACGAAGGGGCGCGCGATTCGCCTGCGGAGACCCCCTCGGCTGTCCTTTTTTAGACCAAACAAAAATAGTTTAAAAAAAAAAAAAAAAAAAAAAAAAAAAAAAAAAAAAAAAAAAGAGCAACAAAAAGAACCCGCGATCAGAGCTCAACATTTACGCCGTGCTAAGGGAAGAACAAGGAGTCCGGAAGGGGAGTCGATCCCTAACTCTTGAACTGAGAAGGAGAAACAAGCGAAAGAGAGTCACCCCTTTACGAAGAACTGCCCAGCCATGAAGGAGAACGCCGCGGGGAAAGACCCAAACGGAAGGTCAGCAGATTTGAGCGGCCAAAATGATGATGTTGTGGGGGATGACGAGTACCCCGATGAATTTTCCGAGTCGGATGAGTTCAATGAGTTTTCAAAAGGGAGCCATGAAGGGAGCCATGAAGGGAGCGATGATGGGAGCGAAGATGGGTGTGATGATGGGATCGCCAAGGCCAACGCCAAGGAAAGCGCCGTAGGAAGCGATGAAGAAAGCGAAGCAGGACTCCGCTTTGCTAAAATGAAGGAAGAGGTCCTGCATGTGCACAAAAAAAATATAAGCGGCCTGAAGACAGTACGAAAGGGAAGTAGCCTCATACTGACGGGCAATGACAACCGCATACGCATATATGAATTTCAGAGTATGAACAGGGAGGAAAAAAGTTGTTCCAAACTAATCAGCTTAGCAGAAGGGTCCATTATTCAATCAGTAGATGCAACAAGTAACCTAATCTTGGTGGCCAATGGAAATAAATCATATGTATATGACCGGACAGGGACGCTTGTGAAAAATACTATCAGGGGAGACATGTACATTACCGATGTTAATAAAACGAAGGGACACACGAGAAATGTTAATTGTTGTCGCTTCCATCCATGTAATGAAAACATCTTCGTAAGTGGAAGCCTAGATAGTACTATTAGAATTTGGAATTTAGAAAAAAATAATTGTTACGGGATCGACAAAGAATTAGTGCACCACCAATGCATAAAAGTGGTGAATGAAAAAAACATGATGCAAAATAATATCCTGTGTTGTCAATTTGTGCGGGATGGAAATTCCATCATCTTGGGGTGTGAGAATGGTCAGCTAGAAGTGAGGAATAAAATGTCAAATGATTATATGTATAGCCCAAAACCTAAGCAGCACATCAGTAGGGACATTTCCCATTCCGACTCCGTTGTAGACATTTTAACATGCAAAAAACGGGACAACTTTTTTTTTACAAGAGGTTTAGATAACACCTTTAAGTATTGGGATAGGAGGAACTTACAAAGGTGCATTAAAACCATTGAAGGCGTTCCAACCATTTTTAAAAACAGTAACATGTCTTTTTGTGGGAGTGACGAACGGTACCTCGTGCTGGGCACACAGGAAAAGAAGCAAGTGGTGATGGATCAGATGCATATAAATGAGCGTGCTGTAGCAGACCGAGGGGGGAGCGACCAACATGCTCATGGAAAGAATGACGTAATGCAGGAACGGAAAGGGAAGAAGGGAGCAGACTCATATACCAACAATTATGTGAAGGTATATCAGGGGGATGAAGACATGGAGCAGTTCCTAAACGAAGTAGCTGCTTCTTCGAACAAACCGGAAAAGTTCATAAAAGGTGCACTAAGAATTTATGACACGTACGGGGAAGTCTTCAATTTGGTGCATGAGAGGCGATACGAACAAGCAGGTATCATATGCACGCATTTTAATGAACACATAAATCAACTCTTTTTGGGCACCACAGATGGGAACTGCCTCGTGTATTACGACGATAGTGAGACGGATCAACACAGCGGTGAGGCGCCCATAGGAAGGAAAAAAAAAGGAGGAGTCCTTGAGTATTTATATAAAGGTGTAAAACGAAAACAAGAAAGTACCTCCTTTTACACAAACACTGAGCATATATATAACATGGATAATCTACCCAAGGAAATTAAAATAACTGATGCTGGAAATGTACTTATAAGAAAGGACGTGATGAATAAGAAGGTTAAAATGAACCCTAGACTCAGCTCCTTCACAGCCAATGCATATGAGAAGAAGAGGCAAGTCGGCATGTACTCTAAATATATAGTAGATGATAAGCCTAGTGGCAAGAATTCACCCAGCAGCCAAACTAATAAGGGCAACGAGTATGAAGAAGAAGACATTGTCGCAAATTTGAGACAAAGAGAACAGAGCAAACAAGGGGATGATTATTTTATGAATGTGTACAAATATACGCAGCCGCGTGCCATAATTGATTACTCCTCTGGTGAAGAGCAAGAGTATTCGGAGCTTTTGAAGAAACCCAAGTGCCCCCAGTGCGGGGTTAAGAACTGTGTCTGTGGGTTTATGCGCTCGGGAAGGAAGCGCGATCGATGAGAGGGGGACAAAGTATATAACCGCGGGGAGCACACCCTATATGTATATATATATATATATATGTGTATATACTACTGCTGCCATCCGGCATGGTGTGACTCCCCGGTTCGCATCATCTACACCGTTTAAACAAAGTTATGTCTTTACGCAGGTGAGTAGTTCTCGCCTGGTCGGTTCGCGCGGTGCTCCAAACGGGGCATCCGCACGTGCAGTTTGTTAAGAAGGTCAAATTGTACAAAAAAAAAAAGGGAAGAAGCGGTTGGCTCTGGGGGCCACTGCGCTTTGTTCCGGTTTGGTCCCGTTTGGTCCCGCTTGGTCCGGTGTGGTCCCATTTGGTCCCGCTTGGTCCGGTTGTGGGTCGCCATGCCGCAAACGCTTGTTGTCCTCAAGCAGCTCGACGTACAGCCGCTGGAGCGACTTGTGGTACTCAATTTCCTTTTTATTTTCTTCTCGTTCCTGCCGAATGCGTTCACGGGCATGCACTTTCTCGCGCTCATGCAGAGCGCTCAGCGCGTCCTTCTCATTCAAATAATTTATATACGTGTTGAATTGTGAATCGAAGGACTTTTTATAACCCTTAATTTTTTGCTCATAACCCTTTGTATATATGTCGTATTTGTTTTCTGTTTTTTTATAGAGCTCAACATTTTTTTGAATAAAGCTGTTGAGCTTTTCACATGTGTGTTTGTAACTCTCCTTTATATCACGTTCGCTCATGCGCTCGATAAAAGTGTAGGCCTTTTTCGCTGGGCAGTAGAGGACTTGCTCGTTTATTTTGGCCCATGCTTCTACCTTGCGTGGTTGGAGGGTGGGCAGCGTGTTGGCTTCGTTGGTGTCGTTCTCTTCGTTGGAGGATTTCACCCCATTTGCCTCTTCCCCGTGAAGCTTCCCCCCTTTGTCCTGTTGGGGCGTAATTTTTTGCAACTCGTCTTGAACAAACTCGAGGGCCATCCTCATGTACGTCTTGTCAACATCATACAGGTGGACCCTTTTCTGAATGGGCGTGCCATTTTTCATTGGGTAATTAAACATATCATTTTTGATCAAGAGGAGCATTTCGTTACGTACGGCATTTTCCACCTCCTTGGACGTGGCGTCCTCGGGAGTGGTGGGGAGAGGTATGGATGGGGTTAGGTTCATTTGTGGAAGGAAATAAGGCCTTGGCAAATTCCACCTAATAACTTTATTTTGGCTATTAAACCTTTCCTGTTCCTTTTTAAGTTGCTCCATTTTTTTTTCCTTTGCGATGTCTTGCATGTCCTTTTCTACCTGAACATGTTCATAATTTATTTGCGACTCCTGTTCGTTTAAGTCTTCTGGAATTTGTAATTCGATGACGTTGGACTCTTTTGGCAAATGTGCTAGGGAAGATTTTATGAGCAACTTAGCTCTGTCGATTTTTTCTTCGTAGTCCTCATCGTACAACTCGCTGAGCAGAGTATTCCTGTCGCAAACGGAATTTTCATTTTTTCCAATTTTGTAAGATATTAACGAGTGAGCATACAGACTAGCATTTTTTTGGTTGCTCCTAATGTCATTTATAATTTTGTCTTTTAAGTGGTTTCTCTCTTTGGTGGCGTTTTCATTTTGATTTAATGTTTTTCCGCTTTCTATTTCTTCTCTCACTGCTTGTACATTTTGGGCAATGTTTTCCGGTTCGTCGTGAAGCATCGGGGAGTACTCTTCTTCGTCATCCCCGTCGTCTTCACGCAATTCTTCTTCAGCCTCGTCCCCTTGGTGTTGCTTCTCCTGCTGCTTCGCCTGCTGCTTCATGTGCGGCTTCACCTGCTGCTGCATTTGTATGGAGTCCCGCACCCCAATGATGGGCTCGTTGATGTTTCTTGCTATAATGCTCTGTGCAGCTTGCTGTATGCCAAAATCTAATTTGCTTGAGAAGGCAATCGATTTGCTATAAAAGTTGGTTCCGATGGATGAAAACTTATCCCTGTCGTTTAAAATAAAAGGAGAGCTAGTCACACTTGGAAGAATGTTGCTAATGCCTAATCCGTTTTGATTGTTCTTTTCATTGTGTTCTTTTATAATTTCATTGAACGAGCTAGCTTCTTTATTAATTTGAATTATTTCTTCCAATTCATTTTCGTTTAAAATGGGTTCTGGTAAATTTAGGCGTACCCTTTTTCTGAGGTGACTTAATTCGTTATACTGCTTGTCATAATTTTCAATAGCTGAAAGGAGATCCTTTTCTTCATTATTTCGTTTTCCCTTGGACGATGCTTTTTTCCCCGACGCATCTGCCCCTGGATCATCGTACGGACCACCCATTGCTACGTCATTTATATTTTCCACGTCCATAGATTTTATGCTTTTAAATTTTTTTTCTTTTTTATCTTCAAAGTGTGTAAGCGACTGTTCCTCACTGACATCGAAGAATCCCTTGGCAGGTTTTCTTTCGAATAGAATCTCCTTCACATGATCTATTCTGTGTTTATCATTTTTTTTATAACCCGTTGTGGTGGAAACAATTCCTGCTGCTTTTAATTCCCTTTTTTTTTGTAACAATGCCAACCGTCTAGCTTGTTCTAACTGTTTTTCTCTCGCTTTCCTTTTTGCCTTTTTCCCCTTGGTATTAGCAAGTCTTGCTTTCGCTTCTGCTAACATTTCTTTTTCGTCTTCATCCATATCCACGGGGTCAGCCTTTGCAGGTTTCGTCTCCGGTGCAGGATCTATTTCCCCTGGTCTTAACTGTCTTGGATTCTTATTCTTGTCGTACACCTTCCCCTCGGCTTCATCCAGGAGATACTCATAGTGATCTAAACACTGCTTGGCTGTTCTTCCTACTATGGGTGCAATTGTTCTCCATTGTGTTGGGAATAGCTTGGCCAGGTGTAGAAGTTTCTCTTCTTCTTCTTTACTCCATTCAGTTTTTTTCACTGATGGGTCTAACCACTCATACCACCTGGCCTTGCACTGCTTGGCTGACTTCCTCACCAAAAGGGATGCAACTCTGGACCAGTTGTTCAGGCCATACTTCATCACGGCCGCCTTCAGCACCTCATCCTCGCAGTTCTTCCATATGCCTCCCTTGATTTGGATCCTCATGGTGTATTAGAAAATGACTCGACAGAAAAAATGGTTCCCCTATGTGGAGAATATACGCAGGGGTACACCTCCACGTTCGGCACAAAATGAAAAGCGGTGTGCCGTTCAGTCGGTTGTACGTTGGGCAGAGCCACCCGTCGTAGGTTCGAAAACAAAAAGGGGTGCTACACGCACATACATATGCCATGCGGACGGGCAAAAAAAGAGAGAAACCCTTACATTAAAGAACTTCTTAGCGTCATGCGCCTTCCCACATGTAGTATAAGTAGCCTCATCAGAGTGAGCAGACGGAGAGGACTTCCTGATTCCAATCGGGGGGTCTCAAACCTTGGCTGCAGAATTTCCTCCGCTCTGTTGTCAAATGAGAACTTTTCTTTTGGTGGGGGGTAGGCAACTTTATTTCTCTTTCATAGCGATTTTCGCTTTGAAACTATGCCCAAGTTTTTTTTTTTTTATGTTGTTTTTCCTACTGCTACGGCAAATTGGTCAAGTGGGAAACGTTGGGTTATGCCTGGACGTTTCTCCCAAAATACAGGAGAATGAAATGTACCACTTCTTCTTCTGGGAAAAAGTGGCATGGCCCAGAGGCCAAATGTTCCTCCAATGGGGACACAAAAAAAAACACAAAAAAAAAAATACACGTCGCATGCAAATGTTATATAATAAATAACGTCGTACTTGTACACGTAACCTTCGCATACCTGCCTATGCTTAAATTTTTGAAGAAAAACATTTCGTCACAAGAGGAAGAGCGACGAAATTAATGCGCAGGGAGAAAGGCGTTTCCCCTGCCAGGGGGGCATTTAAAAAATAAGTGAATACAAATACGTACCGTCGTGATGGGAAAAGCACATGCGCACGCATGTACGTCGAATTTCCTGTGGCTTGAGAAACTTGGTACAAAAAACAAAAAAAGGGGCTTGGCCCATTACAGCAAAACGTGCATACAATTGTAAGGCATACATTTTTAAAGGTATGCAAAATAACTGCACTTGGCTATGCGACAAATAAGATGCCGTTTTATTTTTTTTCTCTATTTAATTCGGGGAAGTCCCTTGTGAGAGGTGATTTTTTTTTTTTTTTTTTTTTTTTTTTCCATTTGCCAATTTCGCACTTTTAAGATAAAAAAAAATTAAAAAAAAAAAAATGCTTTTGAATTTTTTAAAACATGAAATAAATTGTTGCTATGAAGAGAAGCCCTTTCTTATTTGATTTTTTCTCAACCCCCTTCCCCTTTTTTTTTTCCTCCTGTTTGTTTTTACGCCTTTGGCTAATTGCTCTTTTTGTTCTTCCTTTTTTTTTTTTTTTACGTTCCTCCAAGCAATTTGTGCCTACTGTTCTCTACAGGCATATTTTTGTTCCCCGCTCAGCTCCTTCTTCACCTATACTTGCGTATATTTTCGGAGATCATCATTTGCAGTCCCCCTCCCCATACACCACCCTACTGTTTATAACACACAAAAGGGTTTGATTACACGATCTCCACATAACGTATAACTAAGCGGAAGAAGCGCATGCTTCAAGTAACTTCTCCATCCCACCAGAGGCATCCACGCTAGACCATTTCAACCGTGTTGGTGACCCCGATTTTACGAGGATTGCGTGTAAATTGCACCTAAGTAGACGGATGAGATCACCCGTGATCGATCCCACCACGTGTACCCCCCCGCACACACACCCACCACAGAATAGTAACAAATGGTACTGGAAGACTTTAACACGCTACCCTTAATAAAATGCATAAGAGAAGACACCCTTGACAATGTACTCAAATTCCTTGAGGAAAATTATAAAGAGTATGAAGTTAATGACAATGGAGAATATAAAAGCAAAATAGAAATTGTGGATAAACAGACTCACTCCACTCCTTTGTTTTACGTGACTGCTCGGAAGAATGATGAAGAGTCTGTGGAGCTATGTAAATTATTGATTGAACGATTTGCCATTTGCAATCCCACGTCCAAAGATTTAATGAAACAGACTTGCTTGTTTTATGCTGCCAGAGAAGGGCATACGAATTTGTGTACTTATTTAATTGAGAAGGGTTGTAACCCAAATGACGCAGATAATTTTGGGCAGACGTGCCTCTTTTATGCTTCAAGAGAAGGGAAGACTCAATGTGTTGAAGTTTTACTAAAGAAAGGGGCCAACCCTAACTTACTCGATTTGAATAAACAGACTTGTTTGTTTTATGCGTGCAGGGATGGCAGGTACGACACGGTGAAGTGTCTGCTAGAGAACGGGGTTAACCCCGCCATTAAAGATGCGCAGAGGCGAACCGCTTTGACGTTCGCTAAGGGGAATGGGCACAACAACATTATCAACTTGCTCAAAAATGTCAAGACACTGACTAAGCCTTCTGGGGAGGCGGCCAGCACAGGTAAGTGCACAGGAGTGGACGCAATATCTCGTTCGTCGATTTTCCCCTGTGTGTAGCCACCACAATGCTTGCAAAACGTGTCTGCCACATTTTGCATTTCAACTTTACGCACATATTTATCTCATTCTTCGCTTCCCCGTTTTTTTTCCCCGCCCCCCCTTTTAAATAAAACGCAGCAGGTGCCCAAGGAGGGATTGTAAAAAGTGAGAACAATGCAATTGCCAGCACCCCAGAGGATCCCAACAATAACGGTAAGAGAAATGTGTGACCTCCAAGAAGTGCTCATCCGCTTCTAGTATGCACAGCGTGCTATTTGTGTATAAGAGAATAGAGGGGGTATACACCATCTTAAGCAGAGAATTGTCTTCTGGGTGGTGCATTTTCTTTGTTCACCCTCGAGACATCCCCTCCCTTTTTTTTTTCTTATTTTTATTTTTACCGCATCTGCATTTATCCGTTCTTCATACCTTTCTGTGCCTCTCCCTTAACAGTTAACGCTTTGCGCAAGAAGTACAAGTTACAGTACAGGCCGCTAGAGGAAGAAGACCCGGAGCTGTGGGTGGATGCGCCATTGATAAAGTTAAAAGAATTTGAGAGGAAGTTCCCTGACGTGGCTTTATGGCCAAGGAACGTAACGACCACACCAAACGTAGAAGTGAATCACTCAAATGATCCTTTCAACAAGCAGTGGTATCTTTTAGCTAACCAAATAATTCAGAGTCTAAGCAAGTATGAAGGGGGACATATTTTTGAAAAACTAGTAGATGCGAAAAAACAAAATTGCCCAGATTATTACGACGTTATAAAAAATCCAATGTCATTTAATTGTGTAAAGACAAAATTGAAAAAGGGCCAATACGGATTGCCAACTGAATTTATTAAAGACATCCAATTAATATTTGATAATTGTAGTTTGTACAATACGTCTGGGTCCCTTGTGGCCATTACGGGAAAGAATATCGAAGCTTATTTTAACAACCAGCTAATTGTGACAGGGTACAACAACTTCGTCACCAAGGCGAACACAATAAATGAGCGTTTGCAAAAAGTGGAGGATGAAAATATCAAGTGGAGTGCTGAGCACGAACAGGTCGTTATGGAAGAACAGCCTGGTGAAGAGAACAAAGAGCAGCAGGCAGTTGCACCGGCCGCATGATGCGTGGGTCTTACAAACACGCCATCTCCATATGTTCTTATCTACGTATACTTGTCAAATGAATCCTTTTTCAATAGAGGGTGAGAGGGAGAAGGAGGCAGGCGGTAAGGCAAAAAAAAACATGCAGAGTAGCACCTTTCCGTATGAGCGGGGTTGATGCCCTGTGCCAAATGATAATTGCGTTAAAACGTATTCATTGCCTTTCTCGCGGCAGATCCCCGCCCCCCATCTCCGACTCCGTTATGCACTGGGCTGCGAACGTGTCGTTAATGTGGCCACCAATTTGGTCGCCAATTTAATCACTAATTCAGTTTTTTTTATTGTATCGCTTATTACACCTCTTGTTATAATTGCGTGCCTGCAGCCACTCAATCCTTCACTCATCTCTTCATTCTCCTGTCACGTCGTGGACCCCCCTGTCCCCGCCGTGAGCATTTTTGGCAACCCCGTCGGTTGCCCACGCTTATTTGCGAATTTGTAAATTATTCAAGTTGTAATCTGACAAATGCAAATATGCACAAAAAAGGAGACAACAAAAAATAATAAAAAAGGAAAGAAAAAAAAAAAAGAAAAAAAATCCAATTGTGCACCACATTTGTGTCTTTCTTAAAAACAAACTGAATTAAAATGTTTTATTCACATATTACATTACGAGGATTTTTAAATAAAATATGTTTGTAGGCATATATACTCATTTTTCTTTTTTTTTTCTTTTTTTTCTTTTCTCATTTTAACACTATATGTTCACGTAAGTATGCCGGTATGTGGGCATACATCATTTTTTGTTTTTATTGTGACCCTTCATGTGTATTATCATGCAACTTATGGTGGGTACCCCCCTTTTATGCAATTTTATCGGCATTTTTTTAAGACAACTTTTTTAGCCCTTTTAATAACAGTGAAAAAGAGCAATAGGGTAAAAAGACTAGTATTACAGGAGACAGGAAAAGGGTAAATGCGAAGAATTTTCCTTTTTCCCAACCTTGTTGCATTTCCCCTTTCTCCGCAATAGGCATACATTTAAGCGCCCGTTGAGAACTGCACTTGTCCATTTCACATGGGAGCAACATCCTTTCGAAGCTTACCTACCGCTCCACAGGATAAAACAAAAATTCAATCACGTCGTCTACATGAGGAAAACGTAATTTTATGTCGTTGCTTTCTATCACACCTATGCAAACAGGATTTTTTTTTTTTTTGTGCGGCATGATAATATTACCATTCCCCCACGTTTTACCTGTACGGTTCAGGCAAAATGCACACTTTTTTTCAAGTGTAAAGACATTAAAAATCACTAAGCGCAAATAAAAAACGCGCAAATGGGAAAATGGAAAAGGGGCGATGATGTACGGTCTGAGGGTGGACAATGGTTAAAAACTAGGTGAAATGGAAGGAGAGTCCAAATGGGTCGTAAAATGGAATGAACTTTTTTCTCATTTAGTTAAGCGGGTAAATACGAATGTTTTAAAACTGTTTTTGCTGTGTTTGTTGTCTGCATCGAAGGGGACTTATGGCATTTCTCTGTCGTTGTGCAAGGGTCACACATAAATATATATATATATGTATGTGTGTGTCTTTGTTTTTTTGTTTTCTTTTTCTTTTTTCCTTTTCGCCCCCCTTTTGTGAGCAACTTTAAGATGACGCCCAACATGGTTGCGCGAATTGGCCTCTTGTGCCTCCTGAACATATGGTTAAATACATTTTCGTCGCCCCTTTTAAAAAATGGACGGGGAAGCCTCCTCTACGTCGCTTCCCATGGGGTAGACAAAGTGCGGAAGGATTCTCCACATGGTACGCGTGCTGATCTTCCCTCAGAAATGATCAACCAAAAGAACAACCCCATTTTAATCAAATTGATCAAGCAAGACATAGCGGCAAAAAAAATGACAACATACTATGGCCAAGTGGCCGTAGGAGAAAAGTCAGAAAATGTGATGAATGTCTTATTCGACACGGGCTCTACCGAGTTTTGGATTCCATTCGAAAATTGTAAAGGAGACAATTTTCCCGATTTTCACAAAAAATATAAGCGCACCAAATCATTTAGAAATAAATTTAGCAAGGAGGGCCTGCCAACGTTGTTGGAGGTTAGCTATCTCAGTGGGCAGGTCATCGGATTTGACGGTATGCCAAGGGAGTTGGGTCTACACAAGTGTGTTGTTAATGCGCCCTACCGTTGTTTACTCTGTCTCTATTTATATACAATAATGTGTAGTGATTATCTCCACACTGGGTCATGCCAAACTTTGTGCAGGATACGACACCATAAAGTTAGGCGCAAATCTCTCCGTTCCGAACACAAACATTGCCTTTGCTGTACGTGGTGGAAAAAAAGACCTACTCGGACTGCTTCATCGTCGTGGTCTACTAGCCATTTTAAGGATAGTCATATGTATTGAAAAGAAAAAAAAATAGTTAACCCACAAAATTTCCCCGATCATACACCTTACAGACGAAGATAGAAATACCCGTCTTAGAAGAATTTAAGTGGGTAAATTTACATGGCGAGTGGAAATGACCTTCTCATATGTATGGGGTGGGGATATCTTCCGAGTGTATTTCCTCGTAGCGTTACACTAAGCTGCAGAGTTACCTTTGTGCATATTTGTTCCCTCCCCCTTACTTTGTGTATTACCTGCCTGATTGTACTCCCCCCCCCAAGGATGGTATTTTAGGCCTCGGATTTGAGAACGCAGATTCGAAGCAGCGCGGGATGAAGCCCTTGTTAGTTGGATTAGTTGCTTTCACGCGGGGGGTAGCCAATCTCGTGCCCCTTCAGTGCCTGCACAGCTTGGCGCTTATCACACAAATACGTAATCATACGCGCTCACTCATGCGCATAAACGGATACCCCTCTATACTTAACTCTTCCCAGCTTGGACCATTTGAAGGACGAAAACATCTTAACACAGATGGGGTACAAGAACCAGTTTGGTTATTACCTATCCGACACAGGTATGAATTGGCACCTGACCTGTCACCATCCAGGTGCAAACGTTGACTAGCGAACGTTCTGCTGGATCCATCCTGAGCATGAATTATTTGGCTGTCTAAACCTTTTGCTTCCTCATCCATATGGGCAATAAATATTTACCGCTTTTATATCCCTTCTTTTCTGCAGGAGGGTACATCAGCTTCGGAGGGGTGGACAACCGGTTGAAGAGATCACCGGAGGAGGAAGTTATGTGAGTGGCGCTCTCCACAAAAAGTTTCTACTTCCCCAGTTTGGGGGTCCATCGCTGGGGGCTGCCAACATATGCTCGTGTGTATATGCTTACCCATTTGCTTACAATTTTCCATTTGCCGCTGTTCATTTCTACGTTAAATATGGGACAGGTGGAGCCCCGTTTCGACCGAGATGGGATTTTGGACAAGTGTGACAAGGAGGAGTTCGAGTGAAGGGGATCGCATGGGAAGTGTCGAGAATGTTTCATTTTGCAGCCCCTTCACTTGAGCAGCAGTTGGAGCGATGATGCGCAGACATGCACGTTATGTGCGCATGCGTGTTTATGTGCGTCCCGCTTCTCCCCCGCCCGCTGTCCCCCCTTTTCCCAGTCGACATCGTAGGAGTGAGAAAGGAATACGCGCCAGATGTGAACGTCAAGCGGGACCAGGACGATGTTGTGGTGAAGTACGAAGGTTTTCACGATGGAGGGAAAAAGTCCATTGTTGATACAGGAACGTTCTTTATATATGCCCCGAAGAAAACAATGCAAGGTTACCTAAGCGATTTGAAAATAAATTCTTGTGAGGATAAAAACAAGCTCCCTTATATTGTATTTCAAATGAAATCCAGGGGAATTGAAGGGATAGAAGGTTCGGCCATCATCGAATTGGTTTTGTCGCCAAACGACTACGTCATTGAGTATTTGAATGAGGAGAACTGGACGAGGGAATGCGTCCTGGGGATTCAAGCAGACGAACAGAAGGATGAAAGTCGCATAGAAGGATGGACACTGGGACAAATATTTATCAAATCTTACTACACCATTTTCGACAAGGACAATTTGCAAATAGGCTTTGTTAGAAGTAGGCCAGAAAAACGAAACAAAAAAGAGGATGATCATTTTAAGAGCTCATTTCTTAATGTACGGACAACGAGGGGAAGTAGTAATGGCCGTCGGAGGGGGACTTACAATGGACCCCTCTTAGCATAAAGGGGTAATATGCAGCAAATTGGAGAAGCGAATCCTACATCTCAGGTATGGGGAAAAACACCTGCTCATTGGATGGAAGAAAACTCTTCCTTGTAACTACAACAGAGTAGTCCTCCACACAAAATTCTCTTCATCCATTGTAATTGCCTAGCTGCTTGGTAAATTTACAATTTCGAAAATGTATCAAAATGGGTACTTGCAGCATATAGCTTGGTTTTACACCCTTTTCGTATTTTTACGAAAGAGGAGGATCCTTCTACACACAACCTTCCGTTGCATTTGTGCATGGCGGGGAGTAATCTCCCACGCAATGGCAAACTTTTTTTTTTTTTTTGTTTTTTCCCCTTTGCAAAGGGTGAAGAGAGCGTCTTGTAGAAACTCTTTATGAACTTAGCATGGAGTACGCACATTGCCTTTGTTAAAAAGCAGACAGGCGGTTGCTGCAACGGTCTAGCACTTTTCATCGGGGGAGGAAAAAAAAGAAAAAAAAAACAAAAAGTGCCTCCCCGAAAACACCATCATGTAAGTGTATAGACAGTAGAACGCCTGCGCGGGGGGGGTTACATAAACTGAGGCAACTCTGATGAGCTGATACATTTGTAGTTTGAAGTAGCTCCCCAGTTGGGAAATGGAAAGTGTAATTTAATTTGGGGAAAAAATTTTGCCCTGGTGGACGCTCGCACGGAAGTAACATGTACAGCGGTGAGCACACATAAGTACCCTTGAAGCAGCACCTCCCCTGCGAACACAATAACGTGAAGTGCCACTAATCTCAAGCTTATTGTAAAACACATTTATCTGTGCATAAAAAATTGTCTTTTTGGACAAAAAGTGGGGGGGGAGTTGCCATTTAAAAAAAAAAAAAAAAAAAAAGAAAGAAAGAAAAAAGTGCAAAGTGGAAAAAAAAAAAAAAAAACAGTTTTCTTTCATTGCAATATCCCCACTGCCCTTCCTCCCTCACGTTCTCATAAGCAAACATTTACAAATAAAAAATTTCATGCATCATAATTTTGAACGTGATTGGGCTATTACGACCGTGTGATGGTTGTTTCAACGGAGGAAGGGTAGTACCAAGTAGGGTGCATAAAGAAGAAATTTAGCACCATTGAAAAGTGAGGAACGCTTTGTGCCATTTACTTGTGATAAGAAAGGCATAAAAAAAAAAGGGTCCTCTTCATCCTGCTCCAACCATATCTCTCTCTTTTCCCTTGGGGAAAAAACGGGGTGCGTAGGTGACCACACACATTCACATACACACACACACACACGCATACGTATAAAAATATATTTATATATAACACTATGGTAGGTGATGGTCATGGCGTCGGTTGTGCGTTCATTGCACACTGGAATGTGCAACGGAGGCGTAGTGTAGTGTCTGTGCATGTGTGAGTATACCTACAGGCGTGCACCTCCACATGGCGCATAACAAGGCGTACGCGCGCCCATCACCCCAGAGGTTCTCATATTTGACCTCTTGAGAAATTCATATTTTACAAATAAGGTACACACAAAAAAAAAAAAAAAAAAAAAAAAAAATAATAATAATAAGACGCGTAAAAAATGGAGGGAAAAAATAATCATAATGGTAATTATTCATCGTTGTGATAATCATGGTGGGAGGAGGGCCGCCCTCGTCACAGGTTGTCCAAGTCGATGTCCTGAACCTCCTGGTCGACGTAGGAAAGCTCGCTCACTGGCGATATATTTCCATTAACATTGGACGTGCTCTTCTCTTTTTTCTGTCTTTCCCACAGGTCTTTACTTGCGTACAGCTTGACGTATTCTGCGAGGTGGCGGTGGGTGGGTAGGACACGATGGACGGTTATGCACGTGTGGACGCCAACACAAAAAAGGGACCAATTGCTTCAACCCAACTGGCACGATGGTGAGCTGAGTTAGATACTCCTCCACTGGGAGTCACTCCTAACACAACAACGCTGTATGCGTGGCACACTGCTGCGACGTACCTTTCACCTTTTGTTCATATATATTTTTGTCCTTCATGAGCAAGGACGCCGCGTCGCTGTTGAGGGGATCTGATGGGTTTGGGTAGGTCAACAACTGGGGAAGGAAAACTTCGAAAACGTTCACGAGGCCTGCGGTAGACGGGGGTGGATGGGTCACGTTTGTGGTGGTTGCTGCGATGTGTAGTGGCGAGGTACGGGGAGATGTCAGATCGGCTCCTCCCCAGTGCGCGCCTTTCTCCTTACTGTATAAGGGGGTCCATGTCTGGTTAATCACATCCAGACACACCGATCCGGAAGCTTCGTCCACATTTGGGTGCAATAGCTTGTTGATAAAACCAATTGATGGAGAAGCAAATGGGTAGTCATCTGGTAGGGTTACATGAACCTTCCATATTCCTCCTTCGTAAGCGGCTATTTGGAGAGAGGGGCGTGACAAAGGGGGGGAATGAATGAGCACACGGAGAGGTGGCCGACACATGCATATATATGTGTAGATATACGCATGCGTGTAATATATGGGTCACGCCACGGGTGGACAAGCGCCCCCCTGTGCTTATTGCATACTCCCGTTGGGCCCGTGGAACATGACGTCAAAGTCCTGCGTGCTGCCATTGTTCAGCTCCAAGTCATACCCAGCCATAATACTTGGGTGAGAAAAGGGGTAAAGGGAAAAATGTTAAAAATTTGCACACACACACACAGGCTCGAACGAACGAATGGACGAGCATGTGACTAGGCAGGGCGTCACCCCCCTTTGGAAACTTACAGCTTCGTAAAATCGCACTGTTTTCTGCTCAGAGATGCCTGCTGATTCATTGTACACTTGCCGTTTTTTTTTTTTTTTTTTTTTTTTTTTTTTTTTTTTTTTTGTGGGAGAGATTTCCTCTGCGGTAGCGCCTTTTCCTTTTGGATGTCTTTATCTCTGCTTCTCTGTGGCGACTAAAAGTACGTCACGTGCAGCGATGAGACTTAACCACCAATCCTTCAATCTGTGCAACTCAGGATGCACGCGCGGGGTTTACAAAAGGTTAACCGTTAGTTACTTCCGTTAAGTATGGCAAACGATTGTGTGCCTTTCCAACTGCAGTAGTGAAAGCACACCCTCCGGCGGCGATAATGAAAAATGCAGTTCGTTCGTTTGTTTTGTTTGTGTGCTCGGTTGCTGATATTTTTGTTTTGTGTTCTTGCATTTTTTTTTTTTTTTTTTTTTTTTTTTTTTTCCTTCAAGTGTCAAGGCGTTCTTTTTCTAATTAGAAATATTCAAAGGGGGGAAAACAAAATGAGCGGTGGTGCACAAAATTTGTGCAAAAGAAAATGTCAAGGGGGGGAGGGAGGCGAAGATATGGAGTGTAGCATGGTTCAGTATAGAAATGGGCGAAGGGGAGGGGGGGGTGCCATAACATCTTTTTTAACCATGCCCCATTACTGCTTTGCGTTTATGTAGGCTTATCCCCCCCTCCGTGCTCCTGCATATAGGTGTTAACTTTTACCTGCGCTGGGATGAAAATGAATGTGCAGTTGGTGTCATTAAATATTGTGTGCTTACCACTTTGTTATGAAGCACTCTGTTCTTTTGTATGTAATAATGTAGGCATACATTCCTCTTTCACAGTTGCTTATATTTTTCATCCGTGTGTGTTTCAGCTCTCACGTTACACTTTTTGTGTGCTTCCCTCGTTGTGTTTACCTGTTTTGTGTTGCACTTGACACCTCCTGGTTCTTTTCCTCTGCCTTGTTTACCTCTTCGCTGCTCCACCGCTGGTCAATTCACTCCGGTTTTATATTCTTTTTAACAAAAAAAAAAGGTGCGACGAGGGAAAAGGTTTACTTGTGAGACCTGTACGGTGTGGAACTAGCTAAAATTGCAGG